CATAATGATTTCATTGTCCTCGCTGAAATTATTGACAGCACACGTCATGTTTGCTGCATTGTCAACGCAGATGCTCAGCACTTGCATTTCACGGATCCCAAATTTTTCTAAAATAGCTTTTACTTGACTTTTCACATATGAAGAATTGTGACACCCTTCAGTGTCGATTATGTCCAAGGTTTTTACCACAGCTTTATCTTTTCCTTCTTCGTAGTACTGAGCATTGATTGCAAGGAAATTTCTGTTTCCACGGGTTGCTGCATCCATTTTCAGGTAGCACAATTTTTGCTCCAAAGCTTTCTTGAGCTCTTTGCGACCAGACTCAGCTGTGCTGACAACTAAATGATGAACTGCATCGTGCCCCATCGAAACACCAAGCTGCCGACCCATTTCACCTGCAATTTTTTGGAATCCTTTGTTCTTTAGCCTGAAGGTAGTGAGCGGTGTTGAACTCAAGCAAACCATTTCCATCAGCCCTTCACGGAAAGTATTGGCATCCATAGTGACTGTAACCTTTGAGGACTTCAAATATGAGTCAAGTTTTGTTTGCTCAATTTTGGGTTTCTTTTCAGATGAAGCTCCGCAAAAAATCTTTTCTCCAGGAGTTTTCAAAGAGCCAGATGAACGTCGTTTAGCTGCGTCAGCTTTCTGTTTTGCCTCATCTTCCTGGTCCTTTTTTGTAACCAGAGCCGCATAGTTTTCAGGATGGTTACGTTTTACATGCCGCCAAAGGTTGAAACTTTTCACGGCACTTGCTTCACTTGTCTTGAAGCTACATGGTTTGAGCTCGCCATTCACTTCCTTTTCCACCTTGCACGTTGCCGATTTCTTCTTTGCTTTTCCCAAAAGCCCAAATTTGGGCTTTTCAAATTCAAAAGTAAAGACGTCATTGAGATCCTTTTCCGTAAATCGGCTATCAATCATGGGGGGCAGATTTGTTTTTTTTGTTGAAGCCATGGCCAAATCTTCTTGTGCTGCTACCACATCCAAATGTTTCTTGTTATGATCTTCAAAAAGCAATGAACAAAAGCATTACATCTTTTTATAATGTACCTGCTTGTGATATCTTAACCAATTAAGGTACTTCGACTTTATTTTGGATTTTCTGGACAAAAATGATCGCATTTTCTTTTTACACAAATTATTAAAGTATATTTTAATATTTTAACATGTTTCTTGCAGTTTTAATGAAGTAATAAGTATTTTAATATACATAAATTTTTATTTATAAATTGCAAGTTAGTTTTTCTTATGAAATTTTGCAGTAAAAATATTAAAAACGTGGAAAATATTTCGAATATCTCAAATGCTTGAATATAGATATATCAATGAAATTTGGTATGTGCCATAGCATTAGTACGTGCTATCGCTGTTCTACAACATTAATTGTTGGGAAGTAACAATGCTACACATTACAAGGTTAAAAATAAACTTTCACGGGAAAGTGGGTTCAAATTGCGAGCACAGTCCCTTTAATAGAGAGCAAATTTTTGGAAATACGTTTTTCCTTCATCAGCCTGAATAGATTAAACAAGGTAGAGCAAACAACAGGTTCTATCTTGTATAATGTTTCCAGTCTGATGAAGGAAAAACATATTTCCAAAAATTTGCTCTCTTTACTAAAAAGGACTGTGCTTGCAGTTTGAATCTGCTTTCCCGTTAAAGTCCATTTCCAACGTTCGATCAGGCGTCATGAACTGGGGGGGACTAGGCCAATTTTATTTAATATTTTTTAAATCTTCGACTATTTAACAGATACGACCCTGGAATAGGATTTAATGCTAAAACATGCATTAAAATGGTACTCTTAATGTATTTTGTATAATTAACCATTTCCGAAAAAACTGTTTAAAATTTTTAATCTGCTTAAATGCTTAGAATGATGCAAACAATTTTACTTATTACTTATTTTTCAACTTTGGACCCATAAATTTTAAACGCAATAATTAATAAATAACCAAAAATTAACAACTTATTATGGAACATAATATTACCTCGTAGTCAGGGGCAGTCGACAACAAGCCTTTCTTGAAATATGAAATAAAAATGACCAACCGCCAGTTTGGGACGCCTATGGTTTAAATAATTTTGGATAATGTAATATGGTAGCACATACTAACGCTAAGACACAGACAATTTCATTACTTTATATTAAAGCGTTTTTGAGATATTAATCAGAAATTAACTTTTCATCACCTCCTTGAAGGGACTGCTCCCTTAGGAAGAATTTTAGGACACGTGTTCACAGAAACGTTTTTTCTTAAAATGCCCTAAGGATCCACCCCCAAAGTTGTGTTGGACATTTTCCAATCACTCTGGATATATCACAAAAATCACTCCTAATTTATGCAAAAATGTTTACTGTATATTTATATGCCTGCTGCAAATAAATTTAAAATTACAAAACAACGCTACCAAAAGACCGTTGAACAGATGACATATAAAATAAGTCCGCCAGAGTGATACGGGAGCATGTACAAATGAACAAATGGACCGGTAACGGGAGCCCGTGTGAGAAATGAGCTTAAGTGGTTAATATGTCTTGCGATATCTTAATATAGCAATAAACAAAAACATTTTTTTTTGTGCAATATACCTGTTTGTGATTTCTTAAATGTTGCGTCTTGCATCACACTTTTCCGTAATCGCAGCACTCAGCGCATCTCGTTGATCAACTCTTACAAAAGAAGTATCAACACATACTAATCTAACTAATCTATGCGAGTATGTACTCGCCTATCCTTGGCACAAGGGTGGGAGCAGTCTGCAGTGTTGCCGGATGTCTGATATGTTTTATTAAAGAATCAGATAACTATCTCCAAAAAACGTTGTAATTTTGTATCTGTACATTAAATCTTGATTTCGGCTGAAGTGAGAATAACTGACATATTACGTAAAGTGGTAACATAGATGTTAATATCAATTGTTATGCAATCTAAAACTTTTTGGCATCTTTAGGACTTTCTTGCTAAATATCATTCATTTTGGATTGAAAATGAAAAAAAAAAAAACCCACAAAACTGGAGCAGTCAAGATTTTCTGTGCTCCGGCTCTACTCCAGCTCCGGGCAAAAACCTGCAGCTCCACTGCTCCGTGCTCCAGCTCCGTGCTCCGCTCCAAAGCCCTGCTTTTTATACTAAGCTCATCCATCCATCTATTCTATTCCGTCACTGCAGTATCTGGACACTTTGTGCGTATTTAAAAATAAAACAAGTTTTCCCTCTCTCTCTTCCTTTCCAACTTGTTGGAGAAATAGCTGAATTAGTTTATAGTGCTAAGTTTTGAGGCAGAGGATCCAGAGGAAGTTTCTAGCTTCCTGCCTTGATTTCCCATCCACTTCCCATCTCTTGTTTATAGGAATTATGCAACTTGTCAGGCCTGAAACTGGACTACTGCAGCTCACACTTCTGGAGACTGACTAATCTCTGTGAAAGTCACTCATCACAGTGTGAAACCTTTGGGAGAGAGTAAGTAAATTCACAGACAGCACACCCACAGTCTCTGCCCTAAAAGCCCATTATCTGTTTGCATTCTATGTTAGCCTTCATACAGTGATTTAGTGGAGGGGGAAGAACCCACTAAGTAATAGCCAACAAGCAGAACTACAAACCCTATAATCAGTTACCTATAAAAGTCTGCTTTAATCGTCTTTAGGAATAATTACTTTTTTTAAGCGACCATTCTTTTCTCCTGTAGATATTTACCCAATTATTGCTAGTAGAACCTGGTGGGCGACAGCTACTCAGTGGTTTCATTACAACCAAGTTATTATGTCATACTACTTTACTACTGGTGCTATGGTAACACCCTGAGTCACCCACCAGAAATGGAGCCCCTTTAGCAAGGCACTGAACATACAGAAGAAAGCATGGTCCCCTGCCCCAAAATTCTTATAATCCAATTGAAGTCCAAGGCACAAGAAATGAGTATAACTAATTACAGGAGTGAGTTGGGATGAGGGAATTGGAAATAAGATAACTTTACAACCTATACGTACAGAAATTATATTTCCTGCTTCCAAAATACAGCCACTTTTGATTGGAATACGGCCGCTATTTAATACAGCTCGCAGGAACCCTACATAGCAATTTAGAATAATATCCCACTGAAATGGCACAGGAGCTTTAGGAGGCAGAATGCAGAGGCTAACACCCCAATCTTGATAAAAATTCCATGGGGAATTGGCTCAATTTTAACGGAGAGAGGACTCTGTAGAACCGAAGACGACTGTTAGAAGTGACAGTGTAAAATGCAAGCATGATGATACAAAAAGATTGAACTTTATTAGTCACTTAAAATAAAGGACAAGCACTGTTTGACTCTTTCAGCACCTTGCACATGGGATGCTTGCTCGTGGTCATTCAAGGTCCCATGACAATCCTTCTTGCCCAATTAGAGTCATTGATCTACATTTCTTGCTCAAATTCCAACTTAGGGACAGAAATTGATTTCTACCCATCTAAATTCACTTTGGTTCAAATGGAAAAGCTGTTATACATCTGTTTTTGGAAGGGGAGATGAAAATTTGTACCGACATTATAATAATGGCTTTTGTGCCCCACCCCAGAGGAAGTTGTATCTTAGAGATAGGAGAAATGAAAGGCTCTCTCCCCATGGACAGCTGTAATGTTGTAAAGTTATTCCAGTGCTTGTCAAAAGTGATACATGCATTACAAAATATCAGTAAGTTAGCAACAAATTCCATCAGAGTGCTGTCTGCAAAGCTCATTTGGGGCCTACCTTCAAATGCCTGCTTTGACATAATGAGCACCCTGAACCCCACCAAAGTCATCTTGTAGCACTGGGCCCTCGAAAGACTGCACTGTATCTGGCTATTGAAGCAAGTGTCTGTTTCTGGGAGGGGAGCAGTTTGTGTTGCAATAGTAACTTTTATTTTAGTTTTTAAGTGGATGAATTTTACACAAGATAGAGAAGCATTTTTCATCTCACTGATTAATGTTTAAACTACACAGCAGGAACCCAGTTTTCAAGTAACCTACCTCTGACAATGCTTAATTTGTGAGGTGAGAGAGGTGGCTTGGGAACTGCATCTTTCTTTTTTTTGGTTGCAACTCCTGTGACGCTTCTGTTCTTGAGAACATCTGTTCCCCAAATCATTACCGCTAGGTTTTTTGTATACTTTGAATCTCCTTGTGTTACTTGCAGCTGGTGCCATTTCTCCTCATCTACCCAGATTCCACTGCCCAGATGGACCTAGAAAGTAGTAATAAAACAAACAACAACTTAGCATCTATGGTACGCGGCACACAACAGTGTCCAAGCACTGTATGAACACTAGTATTAGGTACTATAATAATAATAATAATAATAATAATAATAAAGACTAAGCAAATTCAGTTTGCCTAGTTTTGAACCCTGTCCAACATTGTGGGTCAGTAAGTTTGAGTCGAACTCTTACATTTTGTGTTTCACTTTCCTTTGTTTTTCCAGTCCTTTTACTCTTAACTCCTCCCCCCCCCCATAGTCTCTCTCCTGAAAGACTATGATAAAAGGACCAGAAATAGGACAGAGAAAAATTATAATTAGCAAATATATCTAGTACTCTCTATATGCACTGTATTCAAGCCAATCACTTGGGCCAGCCTAATTTGGGGCAAGGAAAAATGTTCTATTCTTAGTACACAGCACAGGCTTCCCTTTTACCAGGAGAACCTAATTTACTCAAATCACACTTTGGGAGGTGGTGGGGAGGGAAGCACACTATGGGCCAAATTCTGGTCCCACTGAAGTCTAAACCTCATGTTGACTTCAATTGCAGTTGGATTACCCCCCCCCCCCCCGCCCGTTTAAATTACAAGGGTGGTGGTTGGTGAGGTGGAAGGAGGAGTTCAGCACTCCAATTGTTAACCCTTTGAACCCAAAAGACTGCGTGCAAGCTTCACAAAACCTAATTCCAGCAATGAAGTTTGTCCATTCCTAATAGCTACAACTGAACTACTATTATGGAGAAATGCAACAATATTTCTGTAATACTGTAAAAGGAAAAGGGAAGGAAGAAGGGAGCTTCCTTCCTTAGAATATTCAAATGGACAAAATCCTAAAAGGGGGGGGGGAGATAATGGACACAAGTACTGTGACAGCCCAAGTTCAGTTTTCACAAAAATTGAGAATTTTTTAAAAACTTTTACATCATGAAAAAAGGAAAATAGTCTAACAGTAAACTTAAGTGATTTTTTTTACATCTTTCATGTTCAATTATCTAAAATTTTATCTATGTTGCTCATAAAAGATCTGCATTGCACAGCTCACACATAAAGGAGTGACTTTATACATGCAAAGAGTCTTATTACGTTCACTGAAAATGGGCAAAGACATTTTTAAATTTCATAGGTCCAACCTTCGAGTCTCTGTTCAATCAAAATTCTCAATGACTTCAACTGGAGTTTTTCCTGAATTAGGACTGCAAGCTATTGCCTGAAAATCATTTTTATTATAACAGTGTCTGTGATATGGTGTATTCGGCCTTTGTGGCTCCCTGCTGGGAGCCCTGTGGTCCTACTACACCCCATCCCAAGTAGCAGCAAGCTGAAACGAAAAGAGCAGCAAAGGAGGTCCTTCAACCTTGCCCACAGAGGAGTCTCCAGAGTGGCCATTTTGGAAACTCGAGAGTCCTGGTCCTCCAAAAAGCTAGAAAGGCAAGCAACAGCCAACCAAGGCCCTGGTGACCCAAATAAGAGGAGCTGCCTGGCCTTAGCAGTCCTGGCCAAAGGAACTTGAAGAATAGCCAGAGTTCGTTTTCTGACTGCGTTTTGCATAGCTTGCTTTGAATGGAGGGAGGGAGGGAGGGGAGGACCTGAGATAAGGGTAAAGCTAAAGGGCCCAGGTAGGAAAACACCAAGGAAAAAGGCAGAAAAAAACTAATCAAACAGTATGTGGCCACTGTGTAGAGAGTCCCTGGGTTGGAACTCGGAGTAGTGGGTGGGCCCAGGTTCCTCTACTGGCCACAGGTAAAGTGGTATAAACCCCAAAGAAAGGATGGTGCTTATTTGTGAGCCTGAACAAAAGGCTGAATTTAAAGGGCCCCAGAGATGGGCGAATAGACTGTTTATTTATTGGACTCTAATACCCCAGAAGGGGTTCATTTGGACTTTGAGGCTCCAGGGATGAAGGACTGCAATAACTGCTTCTGGGGGAATTCTGCACCAAAAAATTAAAAATTCTGCACACAATATTTGAAAATTCTGCATATTTTGTCAAAATAACACAATATAATCATGCCAGTTACCATTATTTTGGTAATTTATTTCAAAATATCTGTCAGCAAGTATGTCTAACAATATGGACAAAAAAAAAATTCTGGTAATTTTTTTTTTTTTTTAGACAAATAGATTCCTTACTAGGCATATTAATACAGAACTTTGTGTAATACATTTAAATTACAATACAGAACTGTATTTCCTGAACCTGTCAGAAGCAGTGCAGAGGCTTGGGGGAGTCAGGGGTAAGGGAAGAGCTGAGGGAGAGGGAAGGCACCTAGGAGTGAACCTGGAGGGTGTTGGGTGTGGGTTGGAGGTTTTTCTTGGGGGGTAAAGGGAGAGGATTGTAAGGGTGTTGGGAAGCTTCCCCCATGCAGACCCTGGCTGACCCCAAGCCTCTCCCATTCAGTCAGACATGTCTGCCCCGTCCCTGCACCCCTCATCCCCAAAGCTCTGCAGCCCCCATCCCATCCCCACTAGCTCCTGAGCCCATGCTCCAGTCTGTCTCCCCCACCCCCCATAGCCATTCTGAACCCCACAGCAGCCCTTTGTGCCCCACTCTGTCCTAACCTGGCGCCGCAGACAGGGTGATGTTATGAACTCTACTCCTAGGGCAGTTCTGCTGCACTGGGCATAGAATTTTGTATTTTGCCCCAGAAGTGCTGCAGTTCTGCCTTTTGCCCACCAGAGGCCGCTGTGGCACCAGAACAGCCAGCTGCATTCATGATGGCTGTTCTAGCGCCACAGCAGCCTCTGGTGGGCAAAAAGCAGAACTGCAGCACTTGGGCAAAATGTTTTTATGCGGGAAAATATAAAATTATGCGAGACAGATGAATTCTGTGTGTCCGCAGATGCGCAGAATTCCCCCAGGAGTAAATACCGCACCCAGCTGTAAGGAGGCAGTCAAGAGATGACGGTCCCGTCACAGTGTCCTTAAGTAGCATTGTTTAAAACCTTAACTGTCGAAATATTAACGTTCTAGTTACTGATTGCCAGATGGCAATCAAGTAAAGAGTCTAGCTTTCTTAAAAGCATGAACACAAACAAATTGTCTCTTCTGTATATAATTTCTTCAGACAGAGGTGAAACTGCAAAAGGCAGATTATAGTTTGTTTTTTTTAAACTAGTCATGCATAAAAATATTCCTTTCATGACCAGATATTTTAAAGAATGTTACAACATAGGTAAAAAAACAACAAATGGACAAACAAGTAACATAATCCTCAATATATAATTACTTCCGTCTCCCCACTCTGATCAGTCTCTATATAATTACTTTTTATTTAGTTAGTTATTTTAAAGCACTCTCTTTTGGTTCCATCCTCATACTCTGTAAAACAACTCCAATCACAGCCAGCAGCCACTGCTCAGAAGTCAGGATGATTTTGGACTTTCCAAGACTAAAATACAAATACCTCTAAATAAGAAACACAATGGAATTGTTTAGAATATTTCAAGGAGATTTAAAACAAAAAAAATCAGTAGCATTCTGAAGAGCTGAATTCTGGGTTTGACTACTAAATGAAAACCAGAAAGCTGAATGCTCCATTTTATCAAAAAGCTAAGTATAGTGTATTCCAGGGTACAGCTAGCAGCTCCATATTAACATGCATAGATGCCTTAGTCTCTTTCTAGGCCTTAAGTACGTCATGTATTCACGAGTTTTTTACTTAAAATAGCCCATTATAACAAACATTTTTTAAAGATTCATGTTTCAAACAGAGTCTCCATTCTTGAGAGCTTTTCATTTATTCCAAGGAAATGTTATTGTTGGTATCAAACAGATGTCTGTGGTTATAGTGGCCACTTGACCACAGGAATCCTAGGTTCTCTTTTATATTTCCAGCTCTGTTGCTAACTTGCTGTATATTCTTAGGCAAGTAACTTATTCCCCCATCCTCTTTTTACCCTTCTGTAAAACTGGCATGATAATACTTATCTACTACTCTCAGAGGTACTGCTGTGAGGCCTAATGAAATCAGTTTTGTAAGTATTTTGTGATCTTTGGATGACAGGCACCAACCAAGTGTAAGATCCTTTGCCTGTTGAAGTCACAATGGGAGCTTTGCCACTGAAATCACTGAGCACAGGATCAACCTCCAAGAACAAAACAAACAAGAACAGAATACTTTAGTAACCATGACAACATGAACAATGTATCTGACTAACACACACCACAGGCTCTTCTTACATTTTCTTCTTTAATGCTGTCCTCTCTTTTGGGATAGAGAAGAGTTTCTCTGACATGAGTGAGAATCCTACCATGATCACATCCAATACCCCAGAGTGTGAAGTTTGTAAAATAGCCTTTCTAAACTCCACTGCAGTTCAGGTTAACAAAAAGAATGGTATGAATTAGTGAAAACTTTAAAAATTGGCCACCTTAAGTGTGTCACCAAAATATATATCAATTGTTTTTAAATGGTTACAATGATCTAAATCCCAATAAACAAAGTGTTTTGATATCTCTGTTAAAATATAGAACAATGAATTATTATTATAACTTCATATTCAAGGGAAATGTCAAAAACCAGATGCAATCAATAGTGTGATGTTGATTTTAAGGTGAAATAGAATGTGCTATGTTTTTCTGCCACTGTAACTATGTTAAATAATATTTGGTAGCCAAAAGGAGCACGGGGGAGCCTGATGTGGCTATTGCTTTCTATTGTTTTCTCCAATTGCGGCACTAATTGCATACACATCCCAAGAATGGGGATCTGCTGAGCATGGTATAATTTCAGTGGATTTACGTAAACACTAAAGTTTATTCATTGTGTCCTTTTCCGTATATTGACTGTGTGCATTCACTTCAAAGTATCATTGATCATCTTACCACCAATTATTAGTTTCAAATATGGTACACATTTGTCTTTTACTTAGGGATTAGTACCCGCAATCCTATGTTGTCACATAGGTGTAATTCGTAAAGTCATAAATGTAAAAAAGTTGAAAACAGCTGAGAACTTAAAAACTGGACAGTAAACAAGTCATGAACCTCCAGTGATGACAGAACCTGGTGAACAACAAGAGTTCTCAACCATGTTTGTAGTTATTTCCATCGTCTCAAAGTAACTCAAAACATTTTAAATACTCAGAGTGACGTTTGGAGTTGTGGTGTGTGCTGATCGTGCTGTTAAATGGAGGGCTGTGTTGTGCTGGAAGAGATATGAATTTGTACACATTGTGAATGAAGGGTATATGTTGTGGTGAGGCATGTTTGGGGTTACTGTGTGTGCTGATTGCACTGTGTGGGGGTGGTTGTGTTGATTTGTGTCTAGAGAGGGTTGCATTGAGAGATGTGTGTTTTGTGCAGGTGGCAGTTGCCAAAATCTACAGTCTCCCTCATGCAACCAGTGAAACTGTTGCATTCAACTTGGCAGTAGAGTAAAGGAGGCAATTGATTGAGTTACCTCTGAGATCACAGTGGTCTAGAACTTTTGGCATGCCACAGATACATGCTTTCTGTAGCTGTACACTGTATGGGTGTAATTTGTCAAGTCAAAATGGCTGCAAATTTAAAAACTGGATGGTAACAGATCACAATACCCAGTGACATAGGCGCCGACTTCTACTGGCCCCGGTAGGTGCTCGACCCCACTCTGCCGCTGGCCCCACCCCCCCTCCCCCCCCTTCTGCCCCCATTCCAAACCCTTCCCCAAAGTCCCCGCCCCAACTTGGCCCCCTCCCTGCCCCTATTCCAACTCCTTCCCCAAATCCTTGCCCCGGCCCTGCCGCCTCCTCTGAGCACGCCATGTTTCCACTCCTCCCCCCTCCCTCCCGGAGCTTGCTACAGCTGTTTGGCGGCGGCAAGTGCTGGGAGGTAAGCGGAGGAACGGGGACGTGGCGCAATCAGGGGAGGAGGCGGAGGTGGTGGTGCGGGAAGCTTGACTGCTGGTGGGTGCAGAGCACCCACTAATTTTTCCCTGTGAGTGCTCCAGCCCCGGAGCACCCACAGAGTCGGCGCCTACACCCAGTGATGATTCATCCTGATAATATTCTGAAATAAAAAAAAAAGAGCCACCAACCATGTTTGTAGCTATTTCCATCATTTCCTACCAACTCTACAGACATAAGCTTCTGAGTGATACACAGAGTGATGTTCCTGTAATCTTATACAGATACTATTGTACTTTGTGAAAATTTAGGAAAACACCAAACACAGTAGTAGCTTGCAGCAAAGATTCTAATGTCATGAAAGTTTGGTATGAAATCCACCTGAAGAACAGTTAAAGACTATTTATAAAGTATTTAGTTTCAAATACCTTTCCGTTCTCGAGAATATACTTGTCCATTACTGGAACAGGGGCAGGATAATATGTTGATGTATTCGCTTCCTCACTGAATGTTTTCTGTATCTCAGGCTCAGGCTCAATTGATTCTGGTTTTCCTTTTTCAAGTTCAATGGCAGGACCTACACAGTTAAGAAAAGAGATTGGTCTGCTATCCCAAAGAACATGAAATCAATCATTTTATTGACCAATGGTCAGCATAGACCACCACATTAGTCATGTTTGTTTTAGAATGGAAGTGGGTCCAAAGCAAAACCCTTCATCTGAACAGTCCCCAATAAAAATCGGGGTAAGAATTGAGGCTCTAACCCATTCCTGCTTTAAACACTTAACGCTAAAGAATCATGCTTAAAAATAAGTGTGTGTATGGACAGTTCAAAGAATATGGGTGAAGTAGCTATAACCTGTACTCAAAGGAACGATAATACAACAGAGTTGAACATATAAACCAGAGGTGGTAACAGTTATCCTTCAAATTAGAAATACTGTATAGTTACTTGGAAAATTATGTGTTATCTATACTTTTTCATGGAAAAAATTAAAAATATTTTAAACATTCTTTAAATAGGGGTATGTAAAATAAGAATGAATAGAAATGGTACAGATAAGTGAATGGACTTGGGATACTTATTCTAAAATGCCATGAATTTAAGGAACATCTAAGTGTTAACACAACATACATTAGAATTTTGATTGCCTGATCTATCAGCTACAGATTTGTATTTTAATGTAATCAACAAAAATTAAGCGCAGTTTAAACAATGGAAGATTGCTAAGCAGATGTTTGAAGTTTCTAAGGAAGATAAATTAACTATCAATGACACCAGCTCTTCAGAATTCCCCCCCCCCCCCAGATCTGCTACTACAAAGTGATCCTAAAAGGGTCAAATACAATTTGTGAACTGGATTTTATAATTTCATTAATTATAACTGTGATAGCACCAGTAAATACAGTCTAAGGCTCCGATCCTGAAAGCATACGTGTGAGCAAACCACATGATACCACATGAAGCTCCATTAGAGACAACGTAGTTTTGTACAGGTACAGGTCAGTATAGTATCAGTTGCAGGATCAGGACCGAAGGACAAGAATAACTCATATTCCCTAGAACTACACTATGCTGGCGTGAGTTAGCATTGCATATCTAACATTTGAGTCTTGAATAACCACAAAACGAATTTAATAACCTTTAACTGTGGAAATGAGTCTCAGCAGTTGCCATCTCTCTTTTTGTATACCCAGCCCCAAGTTTTGTCTTGCTCTAACCCAGCAAATCAGACTGCGGTTTCAGCTAATGGCAGTATAGCTGCTGTATCATATTTCTTAGACATTCTCTGTATCTGAAACTATTATGGCATCCTTTACTCCTTATGCTGCACAGAATCATATGAAAGCTTAGTATGCAAAAAATAGCAATTTCCCCATGTGGCTTAACATTGCTTGTACATGACGTAAATATCAGTTATTTTGCACTTAGACCTAGTGGGATGCATTTAGCTTATTGTCAAGGACCAAAAATTCCAGTTCTTTGGACAACTCTATTCTGCAGTGACAACTATTGGGTTTCTTAGGAAATGAATGCAAGTATGGTACCAATACAGAACCACATGAAAGACAGAACATTTGCATTATAGTTTCACAGCAGCATCCACAGACATCTGCAACATCATACACAAGCAGACACTGATGTTGGCACCAAGTAAAGACTGAACAGTTCCATTTAAAACTGGCAAAACCACGCATAGCAGTAGATCATCTGCAAGACTCTCTTTTATGAGTGGATGTGGTAGAAATGTTCAACCTCTTCCCACATTCTTTAATGAACTGAACAAGCAGGGTACTGATACACAACTACCCTAAAGCAGTGGTTTTCAACCTGTGGTCTGTGGATTCCTGGAAGTCCGCAGACTATGTTTAAGGGGTCCATGAACGGTGATTATGAAAATAAAGTTTCAGATCCCAAAAAAGGCATTAAGAACATAAGAACGGCCATACTGGGTCAGACCAAGGGTCCATCTAGCCCAGTATCCTGTCTTCCAACAGCGGCCAATGCCAGGTGCCCCAGAGGGAATGAACAGAACAGATAATCATCAAGTGATCCATCCCCTGTCGCCCATTCCCAGCTTCTGGCAAACAGAGCCTAGGGACACCATCCCTGCCCATTCTGGCTAATAGCCATTGATGGACCTATCCTCCATTAATTATCTGGTTCTTTTTTGAACCCTGTTATAGTCATGGCCTTCACAACATCCTCTGGCAAAGAGTTCCACAGACTGACACTGTGCGTTGTGTGAAAAAAATACTTCCGTTTGTTTCAAACCCGCTGCCTATTAATTTCATTGGGTGACCCCTACTTGTGTTATGAGAAGGACTAAACAACACATCCTTATTTACTTTGTTTTTCTCATCAATCAAAAGTATTTGAATACCCCCAACCTACAGGCCAAAATCCGGAAGTGTTGTCATTAACATAGAAGCCCACAGTTTAGCCCCCTTTCTCACGTTGTGTCAACTGCCATGCCGAGCACGTGCAACATTTACAGTTGAATTCTGTTCAGTCAGTTTTCAGTGTAAGACTTCTATGGTAGGAGTTCGCAGACCAGAGGTTGAATTTCCAAAGGGGCTGCATCTCTATTCCAAATTGTTTAGGGGTCTGCACATGAAAAAAAGGTTGAAAACCACTGCCCTAGAGATTGTCTTGACTATAGGCAGGGAAGAGAACATTCCGGCCTTTTCTTGAGGCAAACTGTTCAATGAGCTCAAGGAAAGTAATCCTCAAGATGTACAATTCTGTGCTTTGAAGGAAAATTCAGGGGGGAAAAAAAACCTACGTTGAAGTATTTTCTTCCTAGACTGAAAAGTGTTTCTTGGTTTAAACATTTATGCTATTTTCTACTTGGAGGTTTTTTTACTGTTTGTTTACAGCCAGTATATTGCCACAGCTGGGGTTTGGTTTCCAGATTTCCCTAAAGAAGAGTAACTGGTAAAAGTCCACTGTGGCAGCAAGTCTCCGGAGCCACAAAAATATCAAATTTAACTGATGCTTTATTGCTTGGAAGCCACAGACACAAAGCCTTAAAAATGCCTTATTTTATACTCTAAAAGCTTGCTCCCTCCCCTCCAAAAACCCATAAAGCTGCATCTAACTGGATAGGCTTCACAGTTCTTTTCACTAAGTACTAAAGACTGCATTTTCAGCACAGCATGTTGTGAATTAGACATGCAACTCACTCTATTGCTTTATTGCTAATGGGAGTTGCGTGCCTAATTTGCCATGCACCACACTTTAAATTTACTTTATAAAGTTTCTCTCTCTTTGTAGCGTTTTTTGCGCTCTCTTTTTTTTTGTTTTTCTAAATAAAGGGAGGGAGGGAGCGAGTGAAAGAAATTGGCCACGGCTCCAAGGCTCAAAAATGCAAATATTTACTACATAATGATTATTTTAAAATACAGCAAAGACAATTTTTAAGAATGGGAAAAAGTAAAGAAACCTTTCAAGTTCACTCCGAATTTTTAGTTTCTCTTTAGGGGGAGTGTTTCTGAATTAGTGGTTGCTCAATATGGAACCACAATAGCTTCAGCTGCAGTATCAACAGATGCCAGGCTTTCCACAGTGTGTGGATCACCTCATTCTCTCAAAGACACATTGCAGGCTTTGATGCTACTTGAGATGTGTGGAGGTGCATTGTTCAGCACTTCCCTTTTGTGGCAGGAAGCCTCTGCTTTTCCTCATGTCTACTAGAAAGGGAACGCACATGATATTGAGGAATCTGGGAAATCTTGGATTTTTAGACACTGTTCTTGATTTGCTGCGGATTTACTGTTACTCATGGTACTGCAGTAAATGTTTGTTTGTTCAGTTCTACTGCCATTTGCTTATAAGACTCTTTGACTCTCTCTTTCACTGAGAGAGAGAGAGAGAGTGTCCAGAAAGCAGCTGAATATGGCCATATGAGAATTCTTCTGGTGTGGGTCAATTCTCCGCTGGTGCTGTACCAGCATATCCAGCTCCTCCTCCACTCCAGTTCCCAGGCAGGGATGAGGATGCGGCTGAAATTCAACGTGTTCCTGCTAGGCTCAGTTGGGGTAATGGTTCCATACTGACTGTAGCCATCCAGTGTAAATTGGAACAGCCCTGGGCTGCTCCTACCTATGTCACAACTCAGGATGACACAGACCTGGCCCCAAGAATGAAGAAGCTGTAACCAGATAAGCTAAAAGATAAGCAAAGAATTCGGGTGAATCTCTCCCTTTCTGTCCTACTGCAATACTAAGAATTAAGAGTATAGTGTGAAAACAGTAATAAGTGTAAGAGGCTGGCAGAACTAGCTAGAGCCATGCATTGTTCCGGTAAGAGATGTGCAATCTTCCCAATAGAACACTACTGCTTCTAGAATCATCCTCTGAGTTGATACGGACAATCATACTAAATTGTGCAGTGCTTACCCAATGTGAACCCTGTTATCCTCTAACATTTTTATATTATTCAAATCCATATCACTCGTGATCCCAGTAATATTTGAAGCTGGACTTCCAGAGGAGAAATGTCTACACTGGAATAAGAGATCCCTGGCACGACTGTGGCTGGCCCAGGTCAGCGGACACTCGCTCATGGAGCTCAGGCTATGGGACTAAAATTGCTGTGTAGCTGTTCAGGCTCGGGCTGGACCCTGGGACCCTCCTCCCTTGTGAGGTCCCAGAGCCTGGGCTTCAGTCCCAAGCTCAAACATAAACATACCAATTTCACAGCCCCATGAGCACAAATCAGCTGACTCAAGCCAGCCATGGGTGTTCAACTGCTGTATAGGTGTACCCAACATGTACTGGATCATGCAGCCCCTTACATAAGGGCAAGATTGTGCCCAGTCAGGTGTATTACACAGAGGAGAGGGAAAGTGGTCAAAAATAGTCTTTGCATGTGTGCAGAGGCCTAGCACAATATGATCCTGGCTAGAGAGGTGAATGCCATGGCAGTGCATCCCCTCCAAGCAGCAGAGGAAATATCCATTGAACCAAAACCCTTGAAGAGGTGCAGCATGTACTTTCTCCCCCACCCCTTTGCTCCCTGGAACTCTAGGAGATATTGTGCCTCCATGAGACCGTGTACTGCTGCACCACCTCAAATGAAAGGTTATGCCTTAACATCAGAATAGAGCCCTTAATATTTCATAAAGAATAGCAAAATACTGACCATCTTATTCTCCTCCTGATGCATCTGAGGATGCTGTGTCAGCTATGGTAAGTCATTTCCAAGGCCCTTGTATAATAAATTGCAACTCAGTATAATAATGTAAAGGGCTATGAACACTGATATTCACACTGTCAGTGGGGCAGCAAGTTCCAGTAACAGAGAAAGAGATTAACTGAACTTTCTTCTACATTTGGCCTTCAAGTTTAAAACATCAGCAATAATACACGTTTCCCCCAGCTGTGATTCATCCGTACAAAACAGCTGTCATCTCACACAAAGAAAGTGTAAGTCCCTAGGTGAAACAGAAATGCAATTAGTTTGCATTAACAGTAGCCTGCTAAAAGTACAACTTCACATAAATTATGTGTAATTTGAAACTCTAGGTTCATAAACTCACCATAACAACTAAATATAAGTCCAAGACACTACCCTTTTAAACTATTTTCATGGACAGCACATATTCACAACCATCATAAGTAACCATTTTGTTTTGTTTGAGATCCCCCTCTTATCACAATTGAAGTCTGCAGTAGTTCCACATTTCTAACCATGAACTAATTTTGCATCTATTTTCCCAAGGGCTGACACTTTTTCTATTTTGATATAACCATTACAGGAAATGGACATTGAATTATCTGCAGTTGCTGCTTCAAGTCTTGACAGAATGTATATGGCTACATTTAGGTCCAACTTTTACCTTTGCACATTAATAACCCCACCAAAACCAACAGGACTGTATGGATTTAAGGAAGAATGTAATACGCAAACTATACAGTCAAACACTCCACAAAGGTTAGGAATCCAAGTACTTTCTAATGTTTAAGGGATTCCCCTCCCCTATATTAAAAACAATGGAACTTTCTAAATTAATATGCACATCTGGATAGGGATTGAGTACAACATTTAAAAAGCGCAAACCTTCATTTTTCATAGTGTCCCAAAATTACAGAGTACAACAAACGTGTTTGCTCTGTATAGGAGTGCAAAGGAGGCGGAAGAGCCATCGAGCTTTCCACTTCCTTTGCAAAGGTCTAATACAACAGCATCCTTGCACACTGCTAGTGCTGCTGCTTCTTATAGCTTTCTCCAAAGTGGGGGGGGGGGGGGGGGAGGAGGAGATAAGGGCAATGGGAGCAGCAGATGTGACCAAGCACAGTGGTGTCTCCTGGGGGAATTCTATGCCACTGTGTGCGTGCACAATTCATGTCCCACACAGATTTTTTCTTCCTCTGCAGGAAATATGTTCTGCTGGGGTGGCACTACAGTTATGACTTTCACTCACCAGGGGATGCTGTGGTGCCAAAACAGAGGGCAGCTGGCTCCCTGGCCACAGCAGCCAGCAGCCAATGGGGTGGGAGAAGAGGCTGCATTCCTCACAGCACCCTACCCATGGGGCCAGAGGAGGCGGCACAGGGCTGCTGGTGGGGTCACATAGACTGGGGATCAGAAGGGCTAGTGGGGGGAGGGAAGACAGACTGGGGCAGGGACTGAATCGGAGTGCAGGGACACTTGGGGACAGGGGCAGATGTGCATGACTCAATAGGGGAGGCTAGGGATCAGCATGGGGGAGACTCCCCAACAATCCCTCCTCACCACCCAAAAGAACAAACCTGTTCCATACTTCTCCCACCCACACGTAACAACTCTCCAGGTTCACTCTCAAGCTCCTTCCCAGAAATTACTTTTCTCTCTCCCTCAGCTCCTCCCTTAACCCTCTGCACTGCGTCTGAGGGGTGGTGGAAATACAGTTCTGTATTGTAGTTTAAATGAATTACTTAAAATTCTGTATTAATATGCCAAGTAAGGAATCTATTTGTCAAAAAACATTTCCTGAATCCTTTTTGTTGTATGTATTGTTACAGACATACTTGCTGACAGAAAGGTACTCTGAAATAAAATTACCAAAATAATTGAAATTGGCATGATTATATTGTGTTATTTTGACAAATAAAATATGCAGAATTTTAAAATATTGTGTGCAGAATTTAATTTTTTGGCACAGAATTCCCCCAGGAGTCGGAGCTGCACCCTCTTCAGGAGAGAAGCAGTAACCAGATCAATGGGACGCATTGTCCGTTTCTGCAAAGCGGACCACAGGGTTGGAACTGCATGAAGTTTGTCTCCAGCAAAATCACTCCCAATAGTGAATAGATAAGCCAGGTATTGGAAAGAGGTGTTACTAGTTTCACTAGTTCATTGCAGAGAACTGTCTAGATTCATCACTCAAATCTGAAATAGTTAAAAAAAATAAAAAATAAAAAAATCTGCTGAACGGATTTCTTCAATGCTGGTGGTATTATTAATGATCATTAAAATCGTGCCAGATTGATGCATTAGAAACTCAAGTCCACTATCTAGAGAATATATTTGGCATGGGCAACACCTTTTCGAGTTTTTTTCACCAGTCCATGCAAAGATGTATCAAATCTCTATTGAAGAAACTATCCCTAGGAATGAAAGGATAGTCCATAGCCTGAGTTCATTCCAGTTTTGGCCTCACAACTGAGACTACCAGCAAGCACGCCCAATAAAACAATGGTTAGCAGACTTGCCTGCTAACATCTGGACTGACAATTCACATATGTCCTACTATCAGCTAAATGAACATCTTTTCATCCAAGGAGAATTTCAGAGAACTCACTGGAATTTACAACCACCCACATTGTGTCTCTGATACTGTGGGGAAATCCTTGCTTATTTATGTTTACATGCCCTTTAATTAATTACTCTGGGTATTCACCATACTAAATACATCTTAAATCTTTGGAGTCAATTTTTCAAAGTGAATGTCAATCAAGCACACTTTAATGTGTGCAAAAACCATGAACATGTAATTTTTCACATCCAACATCTTGTGTGGACAAAACTCAGATTGGCACACAAACCACATACACTCATGCAAATCTAGCAGGTGGCCCTCTACTCAAATTATGTGTGAAAATCTACTTCTACATGTCCCAAAACAGACATGGAAAACAGCATGCCAAAGCTTGGGCGTGCAACCTATAACTGCAAATTACAGTGGCCAGGACTTGACTATGGACCCTTTTGACTATTGGGCTCTGAATTTTATTTACAAATAAAAACAAATATGGAAACTATTTTTAAAATCATAATGAAGTATTCAAGTTTTATCACCCCCAGTGACACAGACTACTATTCTGCACCAATTCCAATATAATAGTTAAATAGTTATCACTGAACAACAAAAACCAAAAAAAAAGTGCCATTGATTCAAGCTATTTGGAATCTAAATCCAAAATTGTATAAAACCTGCATTTAATAACCAACAACATTCTTTATAATGGATCATTGTGATTATTAAAAAATACACTTATGTTCATGAACAGCCCATAATTTCTCAAATACTTTGGCTGTTTAAATCAAACGCCAAAAGGTTCAAGAACATATAATCTAATGACCTACAAAAAGTTTTAAAAAGCCAAAACTTGGTTTATTCATTCATAACAAAGAAACCTTAAACAAAAAAAAACAAAAAACCCACAAACAGCTGCAATAGTAAGACCTTATGGTCTGCCTTACAGTTACTATGCGCTGAATGGATTTTTTTAAAAATGTAATTTAATAAAGGAAAGACAGATATGTTCCAAAGATAAACTTTACTACAACTTTCAGCTTGGGGTGAAAGTTCAGTTCTTTTAAAAAAAAAAAAGATAAGAAAAAAAAGGTACTTTAACATGGAAACTCTGAGTCAGACTTACCGGCACAAAGACCGCTGCTATCATTAAAGAAAGATCCAGAGGCGCGTGGTGTACAAACCCAATATGCACAGCACAACTGAAGTGGAAAAAGCTCTTGAACAGGCAAAGTCCTGTTTGCCCCCCATCCCTATACCTGGAAGACGTTTCAGTTTCTATTTTTAAGAGACTATTGTAAAGCCTGTTAAAACTAGTCCCATATATATCAAGCACTTACCACTGCCTAGTCTCAGAAGCAGCACATCCTGAAGTCTCCTGTTCAAGTCTCTGAGCTCTTTCATTTCTGACACTAATGCCCCATACTCCTTTAGCTTTTTTGCCTGCTGCACAAGCTGTCTCCGTGTTCTCTCAAGTTCTTGCTGAATATGTCTCATTTCTTCTTGCTGCTGTTGGTAACTCCTCAACAATTCTTCATAGAGAACACGAGGAATTACAGCATCGTCCATGTTGTTAATGCCTTCCGAAGTCTCCATAAAGGTTTCCTCAGGGCTCGAACTACTACTGAGACTCATCCCATTTTGCTTTTCTAGGCGAGCAACAACTGCTTCGATGCTTTTGTGTGTACCTTCACTTTGTTTCCTCCCATCTTGTCTCTGTGTGTCACAATAATACAGAACATTAGCAGAGCAGGAACTCAATACATAACATGAACTAAAACTCCAGCCTTCAGGACAATTAAGGCTGTTTTCAAAAAAAGTGAAACAAGGTCCATCTTACAAAAAAATGTTGCTCCTAAATGTTGCTTGTGAACACTCTTACCATAACTGAATTGTGTGTGTAATAATATGCAAACTTTAGGAACTGATGGAGGCCTTTCTTGGTTGCATTTGTCCAAATTGTGTGTGCAAGTGGAGTGTACTTTAGGCAGACCTTTCCTATTTAAAAAAAGACCTGGGCTTCTCCCTTTAGAAAGTCCGGCCCTTCATGTTTGGCATATATACAGTGTTTATATTTCCTTTTCTGATTGTCTTAAAGGGAAAAAGGGTATCAATTATGTATTTCGTATGTTATCCATAATTGCAGGGTACTTTAAAAAACGACTGAAGTAGTGTCTATATTTTTTTCACCAGTATAAATAAGAGCAGTTTTACTGAGTTAAAGAGAGAAAATGGGTTGATAGAAGCACACCATTTGAAGCCATTTTATGAACTGAGGACTTGTCCTTTCAATCACTGTGCAAACAAACTTCCACTGACTATCCCCACCCCCATGCATGCATACACACACACACACACCCCTCCCCATGAAAATAAATGAGTTATACTATTTGCAAGCACTGGAAAGGGAATTAGAATAATAAATTAGAGAATATACAATCTAGTCCCATCCCCCAGATCAAGAGATTCCTTATATATTAGTACCGCATTGCAGATGTTTAATTTCCAGTGAACTTCTAGTAGCAATTTACCTTTGCTCTCTCTCTCACAGTAGTCCAAACCCTATTAATAAATGCATACTCCTTTGTAAAGGGTCTGGATGATGGTATTACCATGTATCAGTATAGGCAAAAAGTCACCAGTTTTTTCAACTGGCCAAATATAGAAAGAGTATTTGAATTTCCAAGTAACTGACAGGAAAACAAACCTAGCTCATGGGTTAAACACAAAAAACTGATGCTATCAATTCCCATAACCACGTCCATGAGTAATGTGGCAGAAAATGAGATTATTCAATGTTATTCCTGCACCATACATGCTCTAAAAAAATGCCATCCCACCATAAATAAATCTACTAGGATAATTCCTGCACCTAGACAACACATGAAGCCACAAAGCAATATTTCCCCCTCCCCAAGGTTGGCAGACTTTTAAAAGGAGAAGTTACTTGAAAACAAAAACAAAAAAATTACAGTTTTTGACATCTCAACCTGAGGGAACCACTGACCTCTATATCAGAGGGATTCAATCTTGTTAGTTTTTCTTCCCACCCATTTCTTTAGTCTGGACTTTCACAGCACCCTGTTCTATTCAAGACAAGCTGAGTACAATGGGTTAAAAAGTGCCACCCAAGAACAGCTGCTTAATAATAATGTAACTGGGGCAACCTGGGCCAAAGTTAAACAACATTGTTCCAAAAATCTCTAACAGCAATTCAGTTTTGCAGACCGTATAAACAAAAATAATTCTCAACTGCAGATGAACTGGATTTCTGAAAAGTGGTCTGTAAAGCAATTCAGAATTCTCACCCACAGCCCCTGCCCGCCAATGTGACCCAATTACATCAATACAACGTTTTAAGGGGATGGAAAGCCAGCCTGGAATTCTTCAGCTATGACATGTGTGCATATGCCCCAAGCACTTTCACACACACAAACACCCAAAAAAACAAAAAAACAAACAAAAACTTCAATACCTTACTGTGTCTAAGCTCCACATCTTCTTCCCCATAATCTGTAACCTCCCCAGCTTCTTCTACGTGATTGAGAGAGAGTTTGGGGATTTTAATTTTCTTCTGCATCACACTGTTTTCAAGGTCAGTTTTGTCTTCTAAAATGTATATTAAAAATAAAAATGTTGTTACATTAATCAAAGTCTTCTTACTTCCAAATATTGCATGATTTAGGCAAGACCAGTTAAAAAAAAATTCCCATGCTTTACTCCCCTCAATATTCAATAGATCAAATTAATCCAGTGTAACTCCTCTGAGACCCATTAACCACAATGGTGCTATACCAGGGACAACGTGGCCATATGTGATTGTGCATATTAAAAAAAAATGGTAAGTTAAATTTATGGGATAGTGATCAAATGCATTAACGTATAGCCATTAGTACTAAAATAAAAGGTAGAAACCATTTGATGCTGTAAAGAATTCAACTCCCTAAGAACTACTTGCATTTCTTTAAATTATATTTATCAACAAGATCATATATCATTCATAAACTGCTACTGAAAGTTCACATTCTGTTTAGGTCTAAAGTAAGAGAGAGTTTGGTAGTTTAATTGTAGGCTCTACTCAGCATTTGTCAACAGCACAAATCCAGCACATCATCCGGCACAAATGGCAGATTCTGCAATGCTCAGTGCTGGAAAAACAGTGGGTCAGATTTGCGAGGCACTTGCAGAGAGCTGTGTGCAGAACCTGTACAGTGACCACTGACACCACCCCTATTTCTAGGTTATAATACTAATCCAGGGGTCGGCAACATTCGGCACGCGGCTCGCCAGGGTAAGCACCCTAGCGGGCC